GCATCACTTTTTATTCACTCACTTCAATATGAAACTGTGAGTCTTATTAAAAAATATTACATGGAAAGTTAATATATAGTTTATATGGAACTTGATAACAAATAATGTATTTAATATTAATTTTCTGACAAAAATTTTGAATATCATTTTCCACTGATCTTTGGTTTGATCATTTTCAGATGTGTTTGTCTGATGTTTTTTCCTCTTCCATATAAATCAGCAGGTCCATTTCTAAAAGCCAGTACTTTGTCAAAATGTTCACTTTAAGAATTTTGTCAGCCAAAGGGAGTTCATTTTCTCAAGTGCTAGAAATAAAATAGGAGTATGTTTTAGGTGCATAGTATTCTATTCATCAAATTGCATTGTTCTCTTCCCTGGACTAAGTGACCTTTGATTGCGCCAAAGTAAAAACTGAAGCCCGTATCTGCTTAAAGGCCTTTGTTACCAACCAGGATTCCTGTTTACAACCCTACCAGGGGTCTCCTATCATTCGATATTGTGATGACATAGATTTTTGCATTTTCTACTAATCAATTGTTTCAAATTATTTTGAATATTAATAATTCATCAGAGAAATATTCTGCTAAACTAGTGATTTTTAAAAGTCATTGCATTGTGATGATTAGATTATCCATGGGTCCAATTCTCTCCCTCTCTCCCTGCTCCTATCCTCAGGAAATATATCCCCAGATTTTATTAAGACCTTGAATGGGTAAATAGGATGTTTCTTTTAAGGAAGTTCCAGATGTAGGATATTTAATGTCCTTAAACCTTTTGGTTGCAATCATTCTAGGTGGACTTTTCTAAATTCCTAAAAAAGCCATAAGAACTTTGCTGATTATTTGTTGTGTAGCTATGGTATTTCTCTGAAATTCTCAGACACGTTATGAACCCTTTGTCAAACTCAGATATCATCACTTGCATATGTAACACAGCATGAAATGATCGTGGAATGTGCCTTTCTCGTTCTGATAAATTGAGCCAACATGTGCTTACAGCTTGCACATGTTTTTCAGTTGAATGTCATAGTTACTTTCATTTTCAAAAGATTGCCTCAATGTCCATGTCTATTTTCACAGATTCATCACTCACTGTGACATAAATAAAAATCACAAGTTAAACTAATTAATAGGCACCTTGAAAGGGAGTCAATTGAATTTTCCCAATATTTTTTTCTGTATCCTCATCTTGTTGAACTATAGGAAGGACTTGCTGAGTTTTAGAAGTGGGAAGTCCATGATTAATTCAGCCATGTGTATACTCTATTTTGTTATTTGGGTGGTGAATATAATCGTTTTTTGTCCAGGAAATAAACCAAATAATCTTCAAGCCTAAAATTATTTTTCCCATAATAAGAAGTATCATTTGCATACTTCTGTTTTGTTTTGTTTTTTTCCGCTTTTCTGCAATATATTCCTGCTTTGAGACTTTTTATAGTATGGTTTAATCAACACAACACTAAAGTTTCAAACACTTGGTGAAACATACTTTTGGGTTAAATGATGCTACCTATATCTCAAAAATGGCAAATCCATACTCCTCCTCAATAAATAATTTATAAACCTCAGGCATTCCAGTTTCTACTACATAATGTTTGACTAAGTGTTTAGCAATAATATACTAGTGTCCCGTAGACTCTTGTGTTAAAATTGACTTTTAACAATTGAAATACACTCTTGTTCTACAGCTTAATCCGCCCATTCACTTTAGCTATATTGCCATTCTTGTGTGGAATGTGCTACTTTTTAATTATTAGTTTCTCCAAACCAGTTTCCTAAACACAGCCATTTGGTAATAATTTATCCACTCAACAAATATTGACTGAGCAAGGACTAGTGATCCTGCCTGCAAATGGACCTCTTTTTAATACAAAAAAAGACATATGCATGAATAAGAGCAATGACGTCTTAAAGTCATATACTAGATAGTCATACAGAGTATAATGGGGCCAAAATGCAGGTTCAATCCTAGTTAGATAGAAGGGCTTCTTCAGTGATACATGTCAAATGAAAGGCTTGTAGTTGGTTCACCAAGCAGAGGGAAGGGCATTCCTAAAAGGGGAAACTGAAGGAACAAAGGCTAAGAGCTAGAAACAATGTTCAGGGCCCTGAAAGAAGCAAGTTTCACAGCACAACAGGTGCATGGGGTTGAGTCGTGGCTCTGGTAGTGGGAGTGGCAGCAAGGGTATGGTAGTGAGGATGTACTTGGCAAGATATAAAACTAAAGAATCAGTTGGGCCAACCGAGTGGCTCAGTTGGTTAAGAGCTCGCTCAAGAGTTTGAGCTCTGAGCAACAGCAGTTTGAGTCTGGCCCGAGCTGAGCTGCCGCTGAGCTGCCAACAGGTAGCAGGGTGGCTCAGCTAAAAAAAAAAAAATCACTAGGAGTGTGATATTGGCATCCCTTGAATGTCCTGCTAAGAATTTTCACCTTGTGTCATAGGTATGGAAGCCACTAAAGCATGTTAATAAGGAAGGCAATACAATCAGGAAGATTTCTTGAATGGCTGCATGGGGAATAGAACAGAAGAACCAGAATCAGGATGACCAGTACAGAAACTGCTATAGTAAGCTGAGATGCTATTAGACAAGCTGTGTAGCATCTCAACGTATTGCAATGGCTGGGACAGTGAGGATAGAGAAGGAAGTCAATAGGAGTGGCAAGCATTGCTATAGACAGCTTTTCACAATCTGACATGCCATATATTTTACTTACTTTGTCTCCCCTCGATAAACTAGACTAGAGCATATGCTCCATGAAGTCAGGAATTGTTCATCAGTTTTGTTCACTGCTCTCTTCCCAGTACCTAAACAGTGCCTGGCACAGAAGACATGCTCAATAAATGTGTGTGTTTAATGAGTCACTTCTATGCAGGGGTTGATGGGAGCAGATGTGATGTCCAGATTCCCAACTTTGAAGAGGGTGCAAAATGAGAGCAAGCACACAAGCAGAGAAGCTGGCTGGCAGACAGGTCAAAGGGGCGGAGAATAAGGGAATCACGTCATTTTGAAAGATTTCGCTTCTCTTCAGTGTGAGAACCAGAATTCCATTTAGGCTAAGGCAATTTGTCCACAAGTAAGCTGTAGATACAAAATGTCAAACTGAATTTGGAGGAAAGTAGTGTTTTGTTTTGTTTCGTTTTTAACAAAATGTTTGCTGCTTGTTCTTTTGGATCTTGAAGAACACTCTAATCTCCCTGTAGTCCATAGTGTTTTCACAAAATAACCAACCATGTCAAACCAACCCAAGAGTTACTTTTAGGGTACATGTTGAAAATACCAATTTTATAATGAAAAAATACAGGCTTTATTTACTAAATCACCTATGAAGTAATTAAATTAGTAACTTCCACTTCTGCCTAATTTAAATTTTTTTCTATTAAAATTTACTTTGGTGAGATTTGATAGAATAAGTATATGTGCCTATCTGCCCCTCTCAGCGCTCAGCATGGAGGGAGATGAAAAAGGATACCACATTAGGGAGACAAGAAATTTTGAGTAATTTCTGGAATATTAAAAGCAGGGATAGAAACTAGAGTTTCTAAATCGTTATAGAAGGAAAATACATGCTGTGAAGCTAGAAGGTATTTCAGTTGCCATACAGGATCAAAATAAACACAAGCCGGAAACAGGAGAGGCCCTAGGAGGAGAATCAAAGTAATGAATTAAAGAAACTCCCTCAGAGTAACAGCGCCAAGAATGTCCATATCTACAAATTTTATTCTATAGATATACTCAGCCATGTGCATACAAGGGTGTTCCCTGCAATGGTGTTTATAATGACAAAGATTGGAAACAACCCAAATGTTCATTAGTAGAACACTGATTAAATAAATCGTTCATATAAGGAAACATTAGGCAGTCAAGAAATAATGATGCATTGACTTTAAGCAAGTTACTTTGTCTCTGAGTAGTGGACTACAAGATTTCTAAGGACACTGATAGTTTAATAGTCTATGGTTCTGTGTCCATTCTCTCCATCCTAGTGGCAAAACTTAGAATTATATATTAGCAAATCCTATAAAGTTTACTTCCCATGTAGTTAGAAATAGAGAAGCACTAGTATTTTCCCATTTTACAGATAGAGGAACTTGAAGCCTAAAGCAGTTGAGTAGAATAGTAATTCAATGCAGATATTCAAATAATCTTTTGGCTCCCTTCAGTAGCTTACCTTTGACTTGGAAAAAAAAACAATAAACTTCATTTTTCTTAAGCATTACTTCAGGACTTTGTGTTAATCCAACATCCTTCCAAGTTAATCCAAGTCCTTCGCTGTTATCTCTTTACTCTCCACCCGTTATTTACCCTCAGAGAATACTTTTCTCTACTGGGTTACCCAAAGGAAACATTAATTGTATTGTCGGCTTTTCCCTGCTTACAACCTGGATGTACTGCTAAATAATTCTCAAGAGCTTTCAAGGTTATTGAGAGGACAGAAGCATCTCCAGGCATCACAGTGTTGAAAACCTTGAGTAACTATTGCTGAGGAGTAAGTGTCAGGATGGCTATATTGCACACTTGAAGCACATGCGCGCGCGCGCGCGCGCGTGCGCACACACACACACACACACACACACACACACACACACACACACATAGTTGGGCCATTTACTGAAGGGCATACTAACTATTTTTAAACACTTAATTTCTCATTTCAGTTTACTTTATGGATTACACAATTTTGTAAATCCGGCAAGTTTCAATTCTGACACTGAAATGATAGAAGAGGACGTTTTCCTTGGTCTCCGGTTTCTCCTCAACGTAACCATAATCAATGTGATTATCTGAGACGGGCTCTGTTAGGAGGCTACTGAGGCATCTGTCTGCCTCTTCATGAACTGCAGAGCCTCTCATTGAACTCTTGCTATGTGTACTCTCCCTGTGTTTAAGAATCTGCTTTAGAGATAGTAAAATAGCCTGTGCTCAGATATGGTTTCATTGATTTAATTTCTCTTGGTGAGGGAGGGAATGTATTTCTAATAGTCACTTTGTCTCAAATTTCAGATTACAGTATTTCGGATGGGCTCAGAAGGACACCAGGACATTGATTTAGCGATCCTGACAGCTTTACTCAAAGGTAAGAGAGTTTCTGTGTCCAGAGAGTGCAAAAATAATTTAAGTGGATTAACACAGCAACCTTATATCTCCTAATAGTGGATGTAATTCCAAATGATACCATGACGCCTCCAATTATTGATAACATAAGGACCTCTCCTGTAAAACACTGTTACTGCTATTAAATTCTCCTATAATGGAGCTGTTATAGAGTGATTAAATTTCATAAAGCTTAAATATACTACAATTCAGTCATGTCTATTGAATCATAAAAATACATAAAAAGCTAATATAATCTGTAAGACACTAAGTTACTGAGGTTATTTAGTAATTATTGCCTTGTCTACTTTCATAAAACACTTAATATGCTATAGATCAGGGGTTGGCAAACTGCAGCTTGTGAACCACATGCGGCTCTTTGGGTACGTTCAGTCTCAAAAGTTAGCCGACCCCTGCTATAGATGATAGATAGATAGATAGATAGATAGATAGATAGATAGATAGATAGATAGATAGACAGACAGACAGATATAGAGATATCATAATACATTAAAAATGGCAAATCAAAACCATTTAGAGAAAGAGAGAAAGAAATAAACCAAAGTAATTAAGCTACTGTACTTGTTATAATTGGGCATTATTTAGCTCTAAGTTTCCTCAAAGTTGAGGCAGAAATAGAAATGCCAAGGGTTGTATGATTTTCCTTTATAAGGTGGGTGTTTGTTCTGTTCTCTAGTCCCAATATTGAAAATATTTTCCTCCTCTATCACCAATTTGTGACTTTAAATTGTGTTTCACTTTTGAATCAGTCTTAGAATTTATTTGTTGTAATATAGAATAGTTGTTTTCTGTGTTGTTCATAACAGACCATATGAGATATATTTTATATTATAACCAAGTAGTTATACAGATGTACTTTAAAAACTGAAATTAAGGTATGTGAAATAATGTTTACATTGACTATATGTAATATAATTGGATATTTTCTATTCTCTTTAATGCTGATTATGCCCCACTAAATTGACTTCATGACCCACTAATAGGTCATAACCTGAAGTTTAAAAAGCACTGCCATAGAAGATTAAAGGAAATTATGATTGCTCTAAGAAATTAACATTTCTAATCACTATAATGAACCTTATTTACATAACATTTGATGGGGATGTGTGCCATTAAAAGATTATGGGGTGTCAGCTCTATTTTGTGAAGGCTTTTAAATGCTTTCTGATTTTTGACCCAGTTGATTTGTGAAGTATATCCAACATAATACTTTTGCTGGCTTCTTTGGAGGCCAAGAACATACTTACATCAGTTTCAAATTCTTTAATTGATTAAATTATTCTTCCCATGAATTTTTTTTTAATTATTATGCCTGGGCATGTAACATTGTTTGACACTTATTTTTTGTACAATTATACTTAGTTTTCAATGATCTAATACCTGAGGCATCTGTATAGTACAGTGGTATAGTCCAGAAGTTAGATAGCAGGAGAAAAGAGCTGTGAAACTAATCACTACTTCATAAGCCCAGAGCCTGTGGAGGGTGGAGGGAAGGAGATACAGGAAACCAGGTGGCTGTGGTGATACTACATACCTTTGCGCCTCTTGTTTCTGATTCCACTGGTTTGATTTTCTTCAGGATTTGTACATATTAAAGGATACTGTGTATATGATACAAACTCATTGGGTGTCTGTTCAAAAATTAAGAGAGAAAGCTGGAAACAATGTTGTTATGGAGAACTAAATTGCGCATAGTTTCTTCAAATGCTGACCTGTGGTAGCTTTTGAAAACAGGTGATGTTGCATTTGTCCTTGGCATGAAGGTAATCACTCTCCCAAAGTGGTGACCTGGGGCTAGAGACGGTGCACCCTTCTCCCGCTTCTCATTCCCTTCCCACCCCCACCACACACATCTAGGGGAACCCAACGGAGTGGCAAAGAGTAGAGTTACCAAAGTAAATACAGGACATTAAATGTTCAGATAAATAACATATTTTTAGCATAAGCCTGTCCCAAATATTGCATGGGACATACTTAAACTAAAAAAATTGTGCAGTATTTATCTGAAATTCAAACTTAACTGGGAGTCTTGTATTTTTATTTGCTAACTCAGGCTACCCTACTCAGGGAAGGTCTGACACCATGAATACTTCTGGACTTCAGACACCTTGAGGGGATCTATGGGAAAAGTACTCAAAAATCTAGGGAGCTCACCTAGTCCCCTGCTCTCCCTCCATCTCTCAGCCAGTTCCTGCCAGAGAAGACTTCCACTGGAAAAGACCCCAAACTTACCTTAATAATCTTAATAAACTATCAGATGCTTATCAACCTGCTCTCTCAGTCACCTCATCCTGTCTGCATCTCTCATACAGCAGCATAGTGCTCTTGCTCCAGGCTCAATAAATCCAGAAAACACCTGCTCACAGCAGAAGTTATTATAAGTAGTCCCTTGACCCTTTCTGTGGATAAAATTACTCCCAATCTTTTTTCATCATTTCTCACGCACCTTGGAAGTCAAATCACCTGGGTGTACACTCTAATTCCTATACTTGCACTGAAGTGTAATATGTGATTATCACTGTCCTCTTTAAATGAGAATTCTTTTTCTTTGGGTTTAATCTTCATTGGCAAAGAAGATAATTTGCAGCATGGGGAGAGAGGAACATCTACTGCTCCCTTCTTTTTCTGGAAAGCATTTTAAAAGAGCTGAGAGTGCAAAACACTATGTTCCTCTGCAAAACTGTCAAGGTCATCAAAACAAGGGGGTTGTCTGAGAAATTGTCACAGCTTAGAGGAGCCTAAAGAGACATGACGACCTAATGTAATGTGGTTTTCTGGATGGGATCCTCGAGCAAAAATTTTTTTTAAAAAAGAGTATTAGGTTAAAAACTAATAAAATCTGAACACAGTATGGACTTCAGGGTTTTTGGGTTTTTTTTTTTAAGTGTAATGGGAGAACTAAGGAAGCTATGTTATCATATATGTGGATCTGAGCAGGAGACATACTATAGTCAAGAAAACTCTATACTTCTTTCATGTCAAAATGACAGAAATAGAGAAAGCATCTTGTGGAATTACCTGTAAAAGTTAGGTACATATATAATCAAAGCACTATAACATGTGAAGGAAGTATTTAATATAAAGGATCTATATAACTCACATAGTCATGGATAATAGCTATTGATCTAAGAAATTATTAGAAATACTATTGGAGAGTCTAAGCAAAAGATTTTTGAATGCAGAACCAACAGAAAATAATTTGTAAGAAATCAAATTTCCCTAGGGATTTATACAATCCCTTCAGAGAAAATTACCTAGTTTTTACCATTTTATTTCACATGTTCTTCAGACATTATACTATCAATAACTAATTAACTGCTTATAGATACTTAAATGGACAATGAACTTGTTTTTAAGATACGCATTTGTAAGTTCAAATCATAAAGAAAAAAGTTTGAAATAAAAATTAAAATGCCAGGAGAATAGCCAATATGTTCTATCTAACTTTAGATAAATTTCTACTCAAAGTAACTACAGAGTCAATGCAATTGCTATCAAAATACCAATAGTATTTTTCATAGAACTAGAACAAATAATCCTAAAATTTATATGGAACCACAAAAGTCCCCAAATAACCATAGCAATCTTGAGAAAGAAGAACAAAGTTGGAGGTATTACACAACCTGATATCAAACAATACTACAAGGCCATAGTAATCAAAACAGCATGGTACTGGCATAAAAACAGACACATAGATCAATGGAATAGAATAGAGAGCCCAGCAATAAACCAGCACCTATATGGTAAATTAATCTATGACAAAGGAAGCAAGAATATACAGTGGGGTAAAGACAGTCTCTTCAATAAATGTTGCTGAGAAAACTGGACAGATACATGCAAAAAAAAATGAAACTAGACCACTTTCTTAGACGATATACAAAAATAAACTCAAAATGGATTAAACACTTAAATGTAAGACCCAAAAACAAACTCCTAGAGGAAAACATAGGCAGTAAACTTTTCAACATTGTTTTTAGTAATATTTTTTTGAGTATGTCTCATTGGGCAAGGGAAACAAAATAAAAAATAAACACACTGGATGACATTCAACTAAAAAGTTTTTGCACAGGAAACCATCAACAAAACAAAAAGACCATCTACTGAATGGGAAAAGATATTCACCAAAGATACACCTGATAAGGGGTTAATATCCAAATATATAAAGAACTCATACAACTTAACACCAAAAAGCAAACAATCTGATTAAAACTTGGGCAGAGGATCAGAATAGACATTTTTCCAAAGAGGACATATATATGGCCAATAAACATGTAAAAAGATACTCAATGTCACTAGTCATCAGAGAAATGCAATTAAAACCACAATGAGATACCACCTCACTCCTGTCAGAATGGCTATTATCAATAAATCAACAAACAGCAAGTGTTGGCAAGGATGTGAAAAAAAGACAACATTTGTGCACTGTTGGTGGGATTGCAAACTGGTGTAGCCATTATGGAAAATAGATGGAGTTTCCTCAAAAAATTAAAAATAGAACTACCATATAACCCAGCAATCCCATTTCTGAGAATTTATCCAAAGAAATCCAAAATACTAATTTGAAAAGATACATGGATCCCTGTGTTCAATGCAGCATTATTTACAATAGCCAAGGTATGGAAACAAGATAAATGTCCATTGATAGACAGTTGGATAAAGAAGAGGTGTTACATAGATACAATGGAATATTACTCAGCCATAAAAAAACAATGAAATCTTACCATTTGCAACCGCATGGATTGGCCTAGAGAGTATTACACTAAGTGAAATAAGTCAGACAGGGAAAGATAACTGCCAAATGATTCCACTTATATGTGGAATCTAAAAACCAAAATAAACTAACAAACAAAACAGAAACACATTCATAGATATAGAGAATAAACCAAACCGATGGGAGGGGAGTTTGAAGGGCTGGGTGATAAAGGTGAAGGGATTAAGATACAAAGTGGGAATTACAAAGTA